CCTGAGAGGGCCCACTGAGTCCCTGTGCAGGAGTAAAATGTGAAGAGGAAAGGGCACCACTGGGAAAAGCAATGGGGGTGGCAGAGGCTGGTCTATAGTGGCCAGGAATATACTTCTGGGGAAAATAAGGGATGTTAATCAGTCAAAGATATGACATCAAGGCTTGTCCACTCATCCAAGGCCATACACAAGTTGGTCCAGTACTTTCTAACCACTGAAGACTTTCTGAAGATCAAGGCTGACACAGCACTAACAGTTTCTAGGGTGCTTTGCAGTAAATCAAATCTTAATTTAATAAAAATTAAAAATAAGATAAATTAAATGTTCATATCCTTTGACCCAGAACCTCCACTTTTAGGAATCTGTCCATGCGAAGAAGTTCAGGGATGCTCACTAGAAGTATAGTTTGGAGTGGCAAAAAGTTTGGAAATGATCAAAATGGGCATGGATAGGGAACGAGTTGAGTAGATGGTGGCATAATCACACAGTGGAACTCCAGGTAGCCACTCCAAGGATGAGGTAGATTCATGTGGAAAAGAATGATCTCTGGAGGATATTATTAGGTGAGAAAGGCTAGGCTGACTTAGCTTAGACTGTGGCCAAGTGAGCTTGCTGTATCTCTCAGCTCCACACCCCTGTTCCCTGCTAGCCTCCAGGCCCCTCCAGCCTTGGGAAATTTGGACTCTGGAAGATCAGACACACCCACTCCCTAGTCTAGAGAAGAAGTCTGGGGAAAGGCAAAGCTCTGCACAGTGGCCCCTTGATGGCTGAGTTCCACCAATCCAAAAAGTGAACACTGGATGTCTCCTCCAATCAGGAGTGAAAGAGTGAGTGAGGGGTGGGGCATGAGGCCAGAAGTGTTACTCTGGTGCAACTCTCTCCACAGGGAAACATGAGGACTAGAGAGTAAGTGTTCCCACCTAACAAACATTCCTGAGGGGTCACAGGAAACTGGGAAAAGTGGTTGTCTATTATAGGAAGGAAACAGGGAGACTTACTTGGATTTAGAGATACCGGAGTAAAGGGTCATTTCTAGTCCCTCTTAAAGATTCAAGGGATCACCTCTACTTATGAATAATTTCTTCCGAAGCTCTGGTGAGGTCACTAGATCTGAATTCCAGATGTCATCATGGGAGAGTACTTCCCTAGTCCCCAATTTTCCTGGATGCTGAACAATTTGAACCAGTCTGTAGCTACCCTTGTATGCCCCAAGGCCTTTCTCTTACACTGGACTCAAAACTTGACCCCTTGTAAAAACTCACCCTTTTCTGTGCAGGAGCTTATGCCTACTGTTTGGAATTCAACTGAAATCACTCTCCAGTGTTAAAGCAATGCTTTCCAGACGTTAGACATTTGAGAACTACTCCCAGGATTTTTCCTAACACTGGAGACCACCTGCCCTTTTATTTATATAATATTTTTCTTAAATGACTCACTGTTTTAAAATTTCAATAAATTTGTTTTAAGGAGACTTTATATCACTACTATAAATGATATGTTTAAAGGAAGAACCTTAAAAACATTATACTATCAAAATAACATTGTTTAATTCTAGGTACACACTATGGCCTGCCCAAAGTTCTGCATGTTGTTCTTGTTGTTTGAAAAAAAAATAGCACATGTTAGAGACAGACTAGCACCAAGCTGGGTCTTTTCTCTTTGGTGGACTCAGGAAATTTAGCAGAGGACTTTCTCCTCACATGGTTCAATGTTATTTGATGCCATACCAATGCACCATCCAAAATTATGCCTTGTAACATGAATTCCACATTGGGAAAGACTGAGTTAAAACCTTTTTTCCCCCTTTTCTTGAGTCTTCACTATATGTCCATAGGCATTGTGTCATCTGAGCTGGACAATATGTGAAGCCATTATCACCCTGAAGTTTATGGCCCTGCCTGATGAGATTGGCATTTTGGTGTTCCAGCTGTTATTAAAATAACATCACTGTGGTACATGAGCCCTTTTTATTGTGAGGGTCAGAAACACATCTCTTTGGAGGCAGCATATGCTGGCAGCTAAGAATGACGCAGGCCTAAACAAAGGGGAATTTGTTCTTTTTAAAAGAATTGGAAAAATTTGAGCTAGTTCACTGGGTCCTTCCAAATGACAATGCACGAATAGCAGCTGTGACCTCCCAGACTGAGCTCTGCAGGCACACAGGTTGGGGCTCACTGTTAATGAATCCTGGGTCTCAAAGAATGGCCTTGGACAGAGAAGAAGGGAGTGAGGGTGAGCAAGGTCAGAGAGGAGAGTTGACAGATAAATGGGGGAGGGTTTTGTGCAGTGCAACTCTCTAGGTGGGAGAGCTGGTATGAGGAAAAGGCTTTTTTCATGCTTCTATTTCAGAAGTATCAGTGGATGCTCAAACTATTGGGGTGATATTCCAATGAGAGATCAGATCTCTATATTGTTTAAAATATCTCCCCATACATGCTACAACATGGATGAAACATTGTACTAAGTGAGAGGAGTCAGACACAAAGGACAATATTTATCATTTCATTTATATGAAGTATCTAGAATAGGCAAATCCATAGACAGAAAGTAGATTGGTGGTTGCCAGGGACTAAATGGAGAGATGAATCAGAAGTGACTAATTAATACATACAGGGTTTTCTTTTGCAGTGATGAAATGTTCTAGAACTAGACAATGGTGATAGATATACAACCACTGGATATTGTGAATATACTAAATGTCACTAATGATAACTTTTATATTATGTACACTTTACCTCAATAAAATATACCACCTTGCACACACACAAATTGCTTTTTAATTACAAGTGCGAAATATACAGTGGATAAATCTAGTGGATCTTAGCCACTTCATCAAAGTTAGCATAACCACTAATGAAAAGACTGACATCTTGTGCACCCTGATGGGGAAAGCGTACACTGAGAAGGACACATTGCTTATGCAGTATTCCTACCAAAGGAGCAGACCCTGAATCCAGTCATTAGGAAGCATCAAACAGATTGAGGGACATTCAACAAAATAAAGGTCCATACTCTTATTTAATATCAATGTCATGAAAGGCCAGGAAGGGCTGAGGAACCATTCTAGATTAAAGAGACATGACAACAAAATGCATCATCATTCAGCATTTATCCTCAATCAGGAAAAGAAATAGCTAAGGCCATATTAGGATAATTGAAGAAATTTGAATATGGTTTGTAGATTAGATAATAGTATTGTGCTAGGCAAAATTTCTTTTTTTAAAAAAATTTATTTATTTATTTTTAGAGAGAGAGGAAGGAAGGGAGAAAGAGAAGGAGAGAAACATCACTTGCCTCTCACATGCCCCCAACTGGGGACCTGGTCTGCAACCCAGGCATAAGCCCTAACCAGGAATTGAACTGATGACCTTTCAGTTTGTGGGACAGTGCTCAACCCACTGAGCCACACCAGTCAGGGCTATGTGAAATTTCTTAATTGTGCATATCTATTGTGGTTATGTAAAAGAACGTTCTTGTTTTTCAGAGTCACACCACAATATTTAGTCACACAGAAATATGATGTAGGCAACTTACTCTCAAAAGATTCAGAATAAGTGTGTGTGTGTGTGTGTGTGTGTGTGTGTGTGTGTGTTTGGAAGGAGAGAGACTTAAAAAATAAAACTAATCCGCTGAAAACTGGTACCACTATGTCATCATAAATAATGAAACCAAGGTCTGATTTGGACTACATTTTTATAAGTGAAATTAAAAATTTTATGTTCTATAAAACTTTAGTAATCGTAACTCATCACAGATTATTGGAATGAATGAAGAATGAATGAAGTGTTGATTTCAGGGCTTGGTAGTGTTCACTTTTCCAGCTAGATTGGTTGATGTGACATCTTTACATTCGCATGTTGTTTGGCCAAGGTGAAGGTAATGTTTGTGAAAATGTTTGGAAACTTCGCCACTTTTTCCAAGGGTGACTTTTAATTTTTTGATATTAAAATCATTCTTTTGAATGCTTTTTTCCCCAATATCATCTGTATTTACCTTTTTCTTCTTTTATTGCTAACAAGTCCACCTCAGACAAGTTCTTGCATATTAATGCCCTTAGTGCCTTCTGAGAGGTTCTCTAGTGTCACTGTCATCAACTCGGTACGACCCTAATTCTCTTGCAAGATTTCCAATTTTTACAGTTGCTTCTTGCTGTATGTTATTTACACTGTCCAGCCATAGTAAAAAATTTACTCTGAGATCTCAGTTGTTTAACATCCAAAGGTTTATTTCTTAATCACGGTATCTGTCCAAGGTGTGAAGCTTTGATGTGTTGTGGTTGCACCATCCCAACTACCTCATCAGCGGGAGGGAGCATGAAGAACTCTCACCTGCTTCTCAACCCAGAAATGCTTCAGACCAGAAATGTCACCCTTTGCTTGCAGCCCACTGGCCAGAATTAGTCACAAGGTCCAACCTAACTGCAAGGTAGTCTGGGAAATGCAGTCTTCCCATGCTCCAAGGAGGAAAATTAAATGGCAGCTGTCTGCCACATGGTGCATTTGCATTTTGTGGTCGGATGTTCTAGTGAGAATACATATTAAGTGGAGGGGTGTTTGAGAGGGGATTAATTATATAAACTGTCAGATCACTAGGAAGTATTTTTGTACGATGATCACTTCTGCTTTATTACTCATCAGGGACTGTGATAATGAGCACTCAACTCAGATGGTGAGCTTCCTCTGGTGCTGTGAAATTCCCAGAGCGTTGCCTGGTGAGCGGGAGACTCAAACAGCATTTTAGCTCACACACAGCGATGCTTCTCTGAATGAGGGATTCTAACTGGTCCTCACCCCAAATCCTCCACAAGGAATATTTGGTGTTTGAGTGCAACAAAGAACAGCTTTGAAAAGAGCTAGACTTTGTCTGAGCTAGACCTTAGTCTGCAAGCTAGGAAAGGCAGAAAGAGCTGTTTTTTATTTTCTAAAACCCCATTCAAAATTGCTTATGTTTTTATTTCAATTTTGCTGTTGACAAATCTGAATTTCTCACACCCTCTTTAGCACATCTCTCTCTCTCCCTCGCCCTCCCGTGCCCCGTGAAAATGTTGGTGCTTCTGGCTTTCATCATCATCTTCCACATCACCTCCGCGGCCTTGCTTTTCATCGCCACCATCGACAATGTAAGTTCCCTTTACTTCTGACCATCCCAGAACCCCTGCATCCTACCGTCAGTAACAGGATTGAGAATTGCCCGAGGTGATTACAATTTGGGGTTGTCCTACCCACCAAGGCATGCCTGTCTCCTTAACATGGGCCTGAGGGCTCTGGCCTAAATGTTGGGGTCTGGAGCATCCATATATTGGTGCGCGGGGATGTTGGTCCTTTCATCCCTGATTCCTCTAGAGAGCCTGGCATGGTGCCATGGTTGTAGGAAGCCATTTGAGGACTCAGCATAATTTCAGCCTTCTTAATTGAGGTCAATGACTCAGCATTGGCACTGTTGCCACTTTGCACTGGATCATTCTTTGTTTTGGGGCCATCCTGTGCACTATTGGAGGTTTAGCCTCATTGTTGGTCTCTGCTCCCTAGATGCCAGAAGCCCTCCCACCCCTACTTATGACAACCAGAAATGTCTTCAGACATTGCCAAATGTCCTGTGGGGGGCAGAATCATCCGTAGTTGAGGACCACTGCCCTAGACACCCCTCCCCCATCACATGTGACGCATCCCAGGCAATCTCTGCTCCTCCTGCTTCTGATGTGTCCTTACTGACAGGATCCCTTGTTGCTGGCTCACGTGGCCATGCCCTCCTAGCAGAGCCTATGCCGGGAACTTCTCAGACTCTGCCCATGCTCCAATGTAAAAAGTTAACTCTTTCCCTTTAGTATCCATCTCTCAGCTATATGGCAAGAATACACTTAGTAAGTAACCTATTGGCATTAATATCCCCCCCAGCAGGAAATGAGCTTTTTACCAAAGGTCCTCTATGGCTCACACCTCGATCCAGATGCCTGGTGTCCATCCTGATAATTTCAGACTGCAGCAACATTTGGAGTCAGAAACACTGCTCAAGAAGCTAAAAAATGCACCTTACAAGTGGCCATCAGCTCTGCCTACATACAGTTAATTAATCATCATAACAGTAATAACATAGATCATTAGACCACCTGTCACTTAGAAAGCACTTACTCTGGTCTAGGGTAGGCCCTTTCTGCATGCTGCATCCCAGCTGATCCTCACCTTAAGTTTTTGAGATGGGTCCTCTCCTAGCACTGCTTCTGATAAGGGAACTGGGCCTCAGGGCAGTGAGGGTACCTGCTGGAGTTTACACTGCAGTAAGTGGCAGAGCTGGGATTTGACCCTTTCCAGACCTCCTGGCTTTATATCCTGTAAGATCAAATAAGTACAGTGATCAGGTTTGTGTTCCTGCAGGTTCTCAAAGAACTGCCATGAGTGGGTAGGGCAGGGATCACATTGACGCCATGGGTTAAAGAATTTGTACCTTGCCATTATCCGAAGGGCCCATGCACAGTGAAATAAATGGTACTGAATGTCCTTTTAGAATTTTCTTTTTCTATTTCTTGCATCGGGTCCTTTGGGGTTCTGAAATGGTTGCAGACATAGTAAACAGGATAGATGGACATTAGGGGCAGAAAAGCTATAAGCCACAGCACTGCTTAGTCCTATGGAACACTCCTGTGTGTTTGTGTCACAGTGGCTCACTGAGAAGACTCAGATGGTCGTTCTTGCCAGTCTGTGAGTCACAGGGAACTCATGAGTTAGGAATTGTGCTTGGCACTGTAGTGGGGCACATAGTGGGAGCTCAGTGAACCTCTGTCGACTGAATGAATGGGTGGGGGAGATTCCAGGCTTTGGGGGGATGGAAAGCAGAAGGATGGCCTTCTGGGGCAGGTGGAGACAGCAGAAGCACAGAGAGAATGAACACATTCTCTCTGATGGTGGGAGAGCATCCATGACAGGCTTCTCCCCTTTCCAATTTCATCCTTTTCTCATGCTTGTAGCTCTTGTGGAATTTACCACTGTGTATTTATTACCACCAAGTGAGCCTCACCTTCTCTCCTCCACCACGTGGAGAGACCAGCAGTGTGGACATTACCGGGGTGCTTGTTGGAAATACAGAATCTCAGGCCCCATCAGAGACCTCTTGAATCAGAATCTGCATTTTAACTAGATCCCGAGGTGGCTTGCATGCACACTGAAGATTGAGAAGCACTGTTCCCAAACATTCATTTACCATGGTGCCTCATACCTTATTAGGAGTCAGTATTTTCATAATTAACAATCAACCTTTCCTTCTGTTTCCATTTTATGTTACAGGCCTGGTGGGTAGGAGAAGGATTTTTTGCAGATGTCTGGAAAGTCTGCGTCAACAACTCAAATTGTACAGAAATCGGTGACGACTATTCGTGTGAGTGTGAAGCTGATTGAGAAGGCTGGATGAAAAAGAGAATGCTCAGGAGAAAGGCTTCCCTGTTGTCTGACTCCTCATTCTCTCCTTCACCCGGCATTCTGGGAGGGGCCTGGCTGGGGGCTCAGCAGGCTGCAGCAGGGACAGCGTCAGCTGGAGACAGGAGGGGTGTGGAGAAGGCAGGGGCTGCAGGGGACTCCAACCCCACCTACGCCCACACTTCTCTGTTTCTTGGCCAAGTGGAGCTTCCTTGCTCATACTTTCTCAGCTCCAGCCCTCATCTAGAATCTTCTCCTCCTTCTCACTTATCCAAGCCTCCCCTGTACATAGACTCAGAGACTGTCTTTGACATTTGTGTCACTTCCCTGCATCTCAAGAGCCTTGAGAGCTGGCTGCTTTGTGAGCTGTGTGATCTTACCTTGGGGCAGGTCATCTGAGCACTAAGAATATCTATATCCTCAGCTGTAAGTGGGGGGAATAGCAATGCACCTGCCCCACCTGCCTCTGTACATAAGCTGAAGTACTCCAAAAGGCTTCGCAAACGCAGAAAATTCCACTTAAAAACATGCCAACCACTCTCCTTCATTCTGGAGAGGATGGTTCTATTTTCTGTTTTAAAACTAATGGAAGAGGTGCTTTGGCCCTGGTGCCTGAAAAAATACTGGATGCCCAGTTAAATTTGATATCTCAGATAAACCATAAGTAACTTAGTTTAAGTATGCCCTAATATTAACATGAGACATACTTATACTAAAAAAAATATTTGTTGTTTAGCTGATATTCAGATTTAATGTGCATCCTGTTTTTTTGTGTTGGTTTTTGCTTGTTTGCCAAATTAGGGCAATCTTATTTAGGGGCAGGGGACCCTGCTCACTGGCTCCTAATGTCTCACCTTCCATCAATAACAATGTCAACACTCATCATACAAATACCAACAGAAATCCAACAGAAGGCATCATTTGCTGAAGGTTTACTGCGAGGCGCGGGTCCAAGTCCTTTACATAAGTGATCTCATAGCCCTATCCAGCAGGGACCATGGGCCCCATTAGATGAGGAAACCGAGGCAGAGAGTGGAAACCCAAGGTTACACATCCAGGAATAAGTGACGGAGCCAGGATTTCAATCTAGATGTGATTGATTCTGAAACCTGCATTTTAAACCACATCATGTGGTCCCTGCCACGCCCTCCCCCTCTCCCCGTATATCTACCATGCTGAGCCTTGACCCTGGGAACAACCATTCTTCCCCGTGCTCTGCGAGCCCCAGCTGTTGCCCGTGTGCATGGTCAGCTGGCAGGGCTGGCTGTGCTCTGCGGCAATGTTTCCAAGCCTCTATTATTTGTGCTCCATAGTCTCTATGTGGAATGATTTAATTCCCAGTTACTTTTCCTTAAAATAACAGGGGTTGGCAAACTACCAGCCGAATTCAGTCCAATTAGATAAATATGGCTTTTACATTTTTAAAGAGTTGTTTAAACAAAACAAAGAAACAAAAAAGCAAAACAAGAAAATGCAACAAGAGACTACATGGCCACAAAACCTAGAGTATTTACTGGTCTGGCCTTTACAGAAAAAACATGCTGACCCCTACTTTACAATAGTTCACTTTTTCCTTACATTCATCTACTTCGAAAGGAAATTTATGTCCCCACATAAGTGATATTCTGGTATCACTTGCCATAAAGGAAGGAAAATTTATTAAAAATGCCACATTGGCCCTGGCTGGTGTAACTCAGTGAGTTGAACACCAGCCTGCAAACTGAAAAATCAGCAGTTCGATTCCTGGTCAAGGCACATGCCTGGGTTGTGGACCAGGCCCCAGTTGGGGGTGTGCAAGAGGCAACCAGTCAATGATTCTCTCCCTCTCTCTCCCCCTCTCCCTCTCTCTAAAAAGAAATAAATAAAATATTTTTTAAATGCTACACTGAAAACCAAATGTTATTAAATCCTTACCAGATTCACCTGCCTCTTGAAGGCCTCAACACTGTTTCTGGTTCTTCCCTGTTAAAAACAAAACCACCACCAAACCCAGATATTATCAAGTGTTATAAAAGTGCTAAAGTGGAGGCTGGAAAACATTTTCTTCAGGTCCTTGCACATTTAAACAAAAGCAAAGTGAACACCCCTCTCTTTAGGTGAGTTTCATCAGTTGGTGTGCTGATCGTACTCCACCTACACTAGGCTCACTGGCCTGCAGCAGAATCTTCTGCACCCACCCCCCGGTTTTGAGAAACCCTGTTTTAAGATCTTGTGCCCTTTTTCCTAAAGCCATTGTCTTAATATGTCCAGACTGTCACAACAGGACACCATCAACTGGGTGGCTTGTACATCAGACATTTGTTTACATCTCACAAGTGCGGACGGACAGATCTGGTGTCTGGGAGGAGCAGACATTCTTCCTGGTTTGTAGACGGCCCGTTCTCGTGTCCTCACCTGGCAGAGAGCAGAGAGAGGAAGCAAGCTCTTGTGTTTGTCCTTCTAAGGGCACTAATCCCGTTCCTGAGGGCTTCACCCTCACGACCTAATCACTTCCTAAAGGCCCCACTGTCACACCGGGAGTGAGGATGTCAACCTATGAGTTTGGGAGGTGACACAAACATTCAGTCCACAGCAGCCATGTTTTCCATATTTGCCCCATCGCCTGGGGTACTTGCTTGAAACACTGGCTCCTGGTGCCCACCCCACTTACTGCATCAGAACCTCAGGGAGACAGGCCCAGGCACCTGCAGCTTTAATAAGCCCCCAGGTGGTTCCTGGAATTGGGCAAATTTGGGAAGCCGTGCTCAAAGCCACAGGGGTGCCCTACATTAATTACACTTGACATGCCCCTGCATGCTTGATCCCATCACCACCCGAGATTCTGATTTATTTCACTTCAGTGTAGTCTGCCGGATGTCTTTATAACGGAGCTATAATTTACAAGCAAGAAAATGCAGACTTCTTAGGGTTTCAGTTCAAAGAGTTTTGACAATTATGTATACACCCATGTAACCGCCATCAAAGGCAAGATAGAGAACATTCCATCACCCCAGAAAGTTCCCTTGGGCCCCTTTCAGCTCAGTTCTCACCACCCCTGCCCCGAGGGCAACCACCCTGACTTCTGTCACTATAGTTCCCGGCTGCCTGTTCTTGGACTTCATATGATTCGATCATGTGGTGTCAGGGGGGTGGAGGGGGGCAGGCCTGGCTTTGTTCCCCACTGTAAGCTATGGGGGAGGGGCTCCGTGCTTTCCAGTGATCCCAATGTGCAGCCAGAATGCATTAAGAGCCATTGCTCTAAAAGTTGATTAAGTACTGGAAATTATGCCTCCCTGTAGTCACTTTTTAGACAAGATTGAAAAAAGAAAAGAAAAGAAAAAAAAAACGGAAGGTTTTCCTTAGATTTTCCTCTGCAGCACTGGGCTCTGACCCTTCACCCATCTTACTGTCTCCTGGTGATAACATCCAGCCACTATTAAAAACTTCCTTTGAGGGTCACCCCTAAAACCCTTCCATGGGTGAGTTCACCCACTCTCCCAGCCTGCCGAGGCAGAAGCTATTACTATCCCCATTTCACAGGTGAGCAAACTGAGGCCCACGCAGGTGGCTTCAGTCCCTGTACTTGACCCCTGTGTACACCTGTGGTGCAGGACTCCAGCTGCATCCTTCCCCGTGCAGCGCCCTCCCACCAGACAGGCTCCTTTCTCTCTGATCAAGCTCCCCTGTACCAACCTGCCTCCCCTCATGCCCCACTCTCTAAGGCCAACTGAAAGCAACATAACTTTCATTTTCTTAAATAGTGAGAGCGGAAGTTTCACTCTCTTAAAAGTACTTTCAGAAAGTCACTCAGTCCTATGAGCCCCAAGTCCCTGAGAATCCCTCCAGAGGTCTCTCTAAAGTGCAGACACCCAGTCCTGACCTGTCCCATCCTGATCTCTTGAACCGGCATCTGCCAGATTGGAACCTGAGGATTTGTACTTTTTGAAAAAAATCCACCACCCAAGAGCCAAGCATTTGGGAGCAGTGACCCAGACCAGGGATAATGCAGAGCAGGTGGTCTTGATAAGGTCCAGATAAGGACAGTATCGCCAGGTCAAGTGTACAAATGGACACTAGAGGGAGAGGGTTTGGGTAGACTTCTTGGCTGCCCTGTGCTCATACTGTGCAGACCACAACCTGACAACCTGCACTTTTGTCTCATCACCCCCACTCGATCTGTCACTGTCACTGCACCCCGGGGACCCAGGCGGCCTGTGGTCCTCAGTCGTGTGCTCTTGTCCTTCCCCACAGATTACTCCACGATGCAGGCGGTCCAGGCCACCATGATCCTGTCCACCATTCTCTGCTGCATCGCCTTTCTGATCTTCTTGCTCCAGCTCTTCCGCCTCAAGCAGGGAGAGAGGTTTGTTCTAACCTCCATCATCCAGCTCATGTCATGTAAGTAAAACGATGGGTGTCCTGGAATAAGCACTCCCTTCCCAGCCACCCACAAATAGAAGCCAGGAGTGGCACGGCAGGTCAGGATTTGGAAAGGAGACGTTGGCTGCTGTGTCATGGTGCCACCATGGGACATTTTATATTTTGGAGTTTGGAGGGTGGTTAGGGGGTCAGACAAGTCATCCTTCCTGAGTTAGCATCTGATGAGTGAGTAGGAGTTGCTACAGAACATGCTCTATTGGTACAGAGGGGCAGGAACAGGGTGTCAGGCAGAGGGAACAGCGTGGCCGAAGCCCTGTGACAGGAGAGATTGAGCTGGGTCTGGGGCTGGAGGGTGGAGATGTGGGAAAGGGAGTGGGGGTTGGTGGAAACCACTCCAGAGAGGCATCTGGGGCCGCACTTCCTGGGATATTGTCAGCCTTCTAGGATTGGGGCCTTTGTCCCAAGCTGGTGGGAAGCCATCAGCAGATCTGTTTGTTTGTTTGTTTGTCTGTTTTTAAGGCTAGTTGGTGTTAGATGTGCCCACTGTGGGCCAGGCCTTTGGGGACTGTTGGAGATACAGAGATGAACAAGGCATAGCCTCAGTCCCGGAGGACTTATAGGAAAAAGGTGTCTCAGAGCACTTTTTTTCTACTTAATGAATTTAACGAGGCTGTAATCAGGTGAAGAAGCCTTGTGCCACAACTTCATCAATTGCTGTTGTTTTTCAGTAGCGAGTTAAAGCCTTCTGATGACAAAAACTGGAAGCCACTTCCACTGTCATTTCCAGTCTGGAGTCAATGGGTGGCTTGATGAGGATGAGAAATCTGGGCTTTGGAGCCAGCCTGCTGCTTGGTTCTAACCACCACCTCCTCCTAGCTGTCTGCCTCCCAGACCTCATTGCCTGCAGCCCAGGGTCAAGTCCAGACCTTGGTACGTTACCAGCACACTAGGATGGTCTGTGTGCATGGGACTATTTTAAAATTGAGTCCTACATCCCAAAAAAACCCTCATTCCTGGGCAGAGCGGGGCAATTGGTCACACACATCAGCCTCTCCGGCACGTTGACTGACCACCCAGGGCGCAGGCAGAGGATTAAAGCATTTTGAGTATAAAAGACCCTGGAAGGTCACTTGGTCCCTGAGCTCCAAGTCCACCAGAATCCCTCTAAGCACCTGTCTAAAGTACAGACCCCAAGCTCCATCTTGACCTCTTGAATCAGACTCTGCTAGGTTAGAACCTTCTCACCCATGAGCCCAGCACTTGGGAGCAGTGACCCAGACCCAGTGAGGCCGACAACTTGCCCAAGGGCACCAGTGGGGAGGTGTCTGCTCCGCTTCTCCCTTTACTTTCTTTGTATCTCCCAGTAAGAGGCATGGATACCCCACTACTCACCCCATTAAAGGCAAGTGAATCTTGTCACTTAACAGGCAGAGGAGGAGTTGGGAAGTTTATTTTCAGTCATGTCTCCATTTGTCTGTTTGTCACTAAGGCCATTTAATGAAAACTTGTTACCTTAATAAATACCTACATGGGAAAATTCCCCTGATTTTGATACAAGAGTCACACCCTCCTTTCCCATCCACAACAACTCATTTGACCATTTTCTGGTCCAAGGACCTGCCCCTCCCTCTTCTGCCCAACCCTGCAGTGTTTAGACACCATAGCTTTCAGTGATGTTCCAGTGTGAGCAACAGATGCTCTAACTTCCAAAAGAGATGTGATGCTGGGGCAGCTCGCAAGAAGCAAAGGAAAAGCTGAAAATCAGGGCTTGTATAGAGGATCCAGGCAGCAGGAACTGATGGGCAGTCACTTCAGAGAGATGCTGGCAGAATCAATGCAAATCAGATGACATTGTGACTTTGCTCTAGATTCAAATCTCCAGGAACAACAGATTGATCAGCAGATTGTCATACACTCAACCCCCAGTCAGACAAGGGCTGGGCACCCTTTGGACAGTCCTACCTCTGGCCAGGAGAGGCAATAGGTCCTCCAAAGAAAATCAGGGCACTTAACCTCATCCTAGCATTAATGTCTGTAAATCGATTAAGATGCTTTTGACTGCAACTAAGAGAAAAATCTAGGTAACAATGACTTTAGCCACGAAGACATTTACTTTTTTATACAACAGGTAGCCTGGAGGTGGAAGGTGCCAGAGTTGGTTTGGCAGCTCAGCAGCAGAATCACAACCCCCCACTCTTTTCATCCTTTTATGTTATCATCTTCAGAGTGTCATTGATAACACTCTAATGGCCCCCAAAAGGCTGCCACAGCTCCAGACATTCCATCCCGACCTAACAGTATCTGAAGTGGTAGTCAAGGGAAAGCACAGAGCTGAGTAGTTGGGGCAGAAATTGTACAGAGCCTGCAAAGCCTAAACTATTTACTGTCAGGCTGACTCCTGGCTTAGATCAATTATGACTCATCCTTTGGGCTGCGCACAAAGCTGCCCAAATAAAAAAGTGGGTTCAGCTAGCAAGAATGGGAAGCAAAATGGTGATAGGGGAGGCAGTGATAATCTGCTGCAAATATTAGTTATAATCTTTCCAACAGACTAAAATAAATGTGTATAATGATAAGAGCTTAAATTGGTCTTCTCCTCTGGCCACGGTCCTCAGAGGTGCCTGGGACACACGACAGTCCATGACTTATTGGTGTCTTCACTTTCTTTACACAGGCCTGTGCGTCATGATTGCAGCTTCCATCTACACAGACCGACGCGAAGAGCTTCACAAGGGAAACTACCATCTCTATAGCCAAACCTCGGATGGCAGTTACGGCTACTCCTTTATCCTGGCATGGGTGGCGTTCGCATTCACCTTTATCAGCGGCCTCATGTACCTGATACTGAGGAAGCGCAAATAGACACCAGGAGCTCGGTTGATTTCACCGCAGTACAAAAGCCACATTCAGATAACCATTTTGTATATAATCATTTTTTGTGGTTTTTCTAGCAAACATATTGTTTCCTTTAAAAGCCAAAAAAAGAGAAGAGTTTTTGCATTCTTGAGATCAGAGGATAGACTATGAAGGCTGGAATTCAGAACTCCTGCCCATCCTAAGGTCTCAACAACACAAAGCCAAAAATCCAGCAGTGCTCAAATCCAAAAATGTTCAGCAGGATGTTTCTTGACCACAAAGATGTGATGGGGTAACAAGAGACCAAGAAAGCCAGGTCTGGGGCATGTCTTCCCCTAGGTTTGGGCTGCACCAAGCTCCCCTCACCTCAGCTTCCTTTCCCAAATCTCTCGGTGTTAGTGGTGGAAGGTGGGCCGTGGTAAGGGGTGCAGATGAGGGATAAAACCTCAGGTATTTAGCAAAGTTCCATGTGAATAACAGGTATGGACCCTGCTGTTCTGTCTATATCCAGACCCTAGCCCCTAATTGCCTAGAGTGGGCCGGGTCCAGAAAATTCCACCCAAATTTGCAGACAACATCACCTGCTTGCCTTAGGGAAGTGTGTGGGGGGCGGGGGGTCAGATGTGGGCTCACCCTGAGGCAAAGACTTTCAACGTGAGATCACTAGCACATCTTGTAAAATGCAGACTATCAGGTCCCCTCTCCACCCCCACCCCAGACCTACGAAATCACAGTCTTCAGGGATGGAGCCTGGGAGCCTGCATTTCTAATACGCTCCTCTGTGATGCTTACATGCCTTAAAGTCGAGGACCACAGCCCCTGGGCCAAGGGAGCAGAGCTGCCTCACAAATGTTAAGGATCTCGTCATATCAAGCTGGGGAGATGGGTCTAGACCCCACTGCAGACCAAAGCTCTGGTCTCCATCAGCTCTCGATCCTTCACTGTCTCTTCCACAGCTGCTCTCATCTGGATCACCAGAACTCCAGTCCCAGGCCACACATCCCAACAGCCAGCCACCCTGGCGGGCACCGCCTTCTTAGAACCCTAAGTCAGAAGACCTCTTCCTTCTCTTCCTGCCCTGCCTATTAATTTGGCTGGACTTTACTAATGCCCCTTCTAGAGCCTCAGAGGACCCATCTGCTATTCATTCATTCATTCATTCATTCATTCATCAGCATAAGTTATGGAATGCTTGCATGTGCCAGGCATGGAGACACCATGGCGAGATAATCTCTTTATTGGTCTCATTGTTTAATGGAGGAGAGATTAAAAACCAATTAGGAAAACTAATTAAAAACTGATGAAGGCTGCGAAGAACACAACCAAGGGTTGAAAAGCAAAGCTGGTGGAGTAGGAGGGAAACTGCTGCATGCCTATGTATCTTTAAATTCTGCAGGAGGCATGGAGGTCAGCCTAAATAGCACTCACTCAGCCCATGCAGATGGCATTTGGCTGGGCAGCATCATCTATTCTGCCAAGAGAACATTTACTTTCGTGGAGCATCCCAGGGTCCCAATAGCCATTGAAGCAGAGGAACCCAGATTGCCACAGTTCTCACTTTGATGGGCACCAGCCTTGCCAGGGTCTGGGTGAGCGAACACTCCAGACAATTGAGACCATACTGAGAAAGACAGCTTTGGGGAGTTTGTAAGAGCACCATGAGATACGGGCTTTGTAGGTGACCCTGGGAAGTACCCCATTGAAGAAGCTTTTTGCACCTCACTGCCTTTTCCCTCTGGTGTTTTGAGCATGCTGCTGGAGAGGCATGCCTGGGCTGGTGTGCGACCTCTCTGCCGTGTCTCAGAGCACTGGTGCTATTTAAATGCTTCTGCACTTGACCTGCTGAGTGACACGGTGTCAGCCCAGTTCCAGTGGAGCTGGGGAGGTGTCTGTTTTGAATAGCGTTAGGGCCACCATGGACTCCTCTTCAGAGCAGGATTTGATCTTTCTGTCCATCTACACATTCATTCATTCATTTGTTCATTTGCAACAAAGGATTCCATGCCTACTATGCTCTAGGCACTGTGTGAGGCTCTGAAAACACAGGTGTGAGCAAACCCAGACATCCTCCTTGAGACAGGACACCCTCTCCACAGAGAGGCCACCTGCACAGTGCAGGGTGACATCAGGCCAATGACAGGACTGATCGCCACCTCCAGGAAGGCTCATTAGGCACATGGGGGTTAGGAGCATGTCACACCCTTGGGGTTTGCAGGATGTTCCATGAGCCTCTGGAGAAAGGTGGGTCTATAGTGCCCCATGCTTTCTACCCAGCTGGCTTTTCTATAGTTTCCTGGTGGCCACAGTGCAAAACAAACAACCCTTAGAACCAGATATCTGGAAAGACTAATCCCTAATCAGTTCATGAATTTCCTTCTCCAAAGCTTCAGGGGTGCTTGAGAATCTGAAATGACCCCATGGATTTTCCTGGCTGGTTGCCACTACTGTGTAGCATTCAGCTTCCACAGTCATCGTGATGCCGAGGTTTTGTGAAACGTGAGAGCTGCCTCCCCGCATTGGGGAGGTGGGAAAGGTGAGGCTGTGAGGAAGAAAACACCCAAATTTCTTACCTGTAGGCAGAATCAGCCCTCACTTGGTGCTTACTATCAGTTATTCAAGAACAATAACAAATAAAATTAGCTGAGACATCCAAGAAGCAAACATTAGGGCCAAATATATTACTGGTAACAACTGTATTTGAAGGAGCTATCGTTTGCGCATGTTAGGACATTTTTATACAGTACTGTAATTCTTTCATCAAGGGGTTATGGATGGAGACAGACTAACTCGTTTTGTTATTTGCATTAAAATTACTTTGGGTCTCTGTTGAAATGAGTTTGGAAAATTGATTTGTTGCTCTGAGTGAATGTAGATATTTATACCTGAATACAGGAAAATTGGAGACTTCCCCCACTCCTCCTTCTCTGCTACAGGTTATTTGCCTGTATGCATCCCTCATCAACAGGCTGGGGTCCTGGGATGCTCTGTTTAACTAATGATGAGGACACTTGGACCCCCACGCCTGTATGTAAACACACTAAACACAGTAGGTTAGATAGGAGCTGTAGCATCATTTAAAACCTGCCCGGGTGGGGAATTACTAAATTTGCTAATAATTGAAAGGCTACTTACAATACAGTGCAATGGACAGTTTTGTATATTGGGGGAGCGGTGGGGATAGGGCAATGCAGGGGAAGGCCTAGAGGTTACGTTTGGATCTTGGTTTGTGGACAAATGTGATTTTTAGGGTAGTTAGATACTTTCTACTTAATGTACCTTTAAAAATAGTACATTTTCTATGTTTTGTATAATCTGAAACTGTACATGAAAAATAAAGTTTAAGATCAAAGAACCCAGAGAAGCAGACTCTAATGTTCCCAACTGTGCCAACATGGAAGTTAAAATGCTGCCATTTTGAGTGGCAGAGGGGTCATTTGGTTTCTAATCAAGGAGATAATGTGGTTTTTACAGCAAGCAGTTGATGTCTGACAGTTTATCACAGGACAGCCTCCAGTGCCTTTGCCTCCAATGGAGGTGGGGCCTCCTAGATGAATGACCAGCAGCTGCACAGAACCTGTGCTTTGAAAGGGTCTCATACTTGGTTAATGATCTGCTATCATCATTTAAAAATTGTGTTTTTTTAAAATAAAAATATATTATTTACTTATTGTAGAGAGATGGGAAGGGGGGGAAGAGAGGGAGAGAAACATCAATGTGTGTTTGCCTCTTAAGCACCCCTACTGGTGACCTGGCCCACAACCCAGGCATGTGCCCTGACTGGGAATTGGTCCAGCGACCCTTTGCTTTGCAAGCCAGTGCTCAATCCCCTGAGCCACACCAGCCAGGGCCATTATAAGATTCTTAATGATATTTCAGCAAACAGCCTCACATTCTCATTTTGCAATGGTCTCTGCCAATTATGGAGCCGATCCTGTTTTTTTTTCCAATTACAGTTTTCATACAATATTATTTTGTATTAGTTTCAGGTGTACAGCACAGTGATTAGATGATCATACTTTACAAAGTGTTTCCCCTGATATTTCCTAGCCAGTCTTGTTCTTTAGTTTGTATTTTATAAAGTCTTCTGCTTTAAAGGGTTGAATGATGATGAACATATGACTATCTGTATAGCACACATTCTGCTGAAAAAAAAGAAAATTCAGCCAGAAAAATAGAGATGGAGAGATCTTTAATTTTTATTTAAGGAATGCCAAAAGTAGTAAAAGCTGTCTATCTAGGGGACCAACATGTCCTTATCTCCACACAGGGTTTGCAAACTCAAACTTCCAGGGGCCACTGTCCGTATTCTTTGTTTCTGGGGTTTTGATTTTTGTCCATGTGGCAGGTGGATGGTGGCACTTCAGACCACTCAGTTTCATATTTCTTCCATTCGGGAAATGATCTTTTTCATTCACCAAATTTTTGTGGCCTAGCATGATTTATCCTGGAGTATGAAATTCTATGTCTGGTTTAGAACTTGCCTTGCCCATCCCTGCAAATCTCCAAATCCTTGGACTCTCCATCCATTTAAATTGTAGGCTTCAGGCAGAAAGAACCTCAGTAAAGCCATCTTTTCTTCCATTTTGCCATTAGATGGACCATGTTTGCCCCAAGATTGACTTTCTCTTGTAGGAGTTTACTGAAGGCTCTAAACAGATGGACATGGCAACATCCTGATGTGTTTCTGTACCTTTTTTTCTGCTACTATAACTTCCACAGGTACATGGTTGGTGTAAAATTAGTGGCAATTTAAACTGGGGTTAAACTGTGGCCCATGGGCCAAATCGGCCCACTGCCCGATTTCGTAAAGTTTTACTGGCACATAGCCACACCCACTAATTTACATATTCTTCCTGTCTGCTGTCAGAGACAGAGTTGAGCAGTTACAAAAGAAACTACATGGGACTTCCAGCCAAGATGGAAGCATAGCTAGACACACTGTGCCTCCTCACACAACCAAAAGAAGGACAACAACAAATTTAAAAACAGAAAACAAATAGAACTGACAGAAAATTGAACTGTATGGAAGTCCAACAACCAAGGAGTTGAAGAAGAAACATTCATCCAGACTGGTAGGAGGGGTGGAGAAAGCAGCTGGGCAGAGAGGACTCGCAGCAGCTGGTAGACAGGGTGGTCCCACATTCGTGTGCAGATAAACCCAGAGGAACAACTGGGGAGTGAGACAGACCTCACAACCCAGGGCTCCAGTGTGGGAAAAGAAAGCCTCAAAGCCTATGACTGAAAACACCTGTGGACGTTGAGGCAGCAGTGGGAGAAACTCTCAGCCTCACATGAGAGTTTGTTGGAGAGACCCACAGGGTCCTTGAATGTACACAAATCCACCCACCTCAGAATCAGCACCAGAAGGGCCCAATTTGAGTGTGGGTAGCAGGAGAAGTGACTAAAAACCACCAGAGAGTGGAGCAAACACCATTGTTCCTTCTCAGACCCCTCCCCCACATACAGCGTCACAATCTAGCGCTTGGGTTGCCCTGCCCTGGTGAACACCTGAGGCTTCACCCCTTACTACATAAGAGGTACACCAAAACAAAAAAAGAAAAGGCCCAAAGGAAAGAACAGATCAAAGCTCCAGAAAAAATACAACTAAGCAAAGAAGAGAGAGGCAACATATCAGATGCACAATTCAAAGCACTGGTAATCAGGATGCTCACAGAATTGGTTGAATAGGGTCAAAAATTAGAGGAAAAAATGAAGGTGATGCTAAGTGAAATAAAGGAAAATGTACAGGGAACCAACAATGATGGGAAGGAAAACAGGACTCACATCAATGGTGTGAACCAGAAGGAAGAAAGAAAAATTCAACCAGAAAAGAATGAAGAAAGAAGAATTCAAAAAAATGAGGAGAGGCTTAGGAACCCCCTGGATATCTTTAAATGTTCCAACATCTGAATCATAGGGGTGCCAGAAGGAGAAGAGGAAGAACAACAAGAGGAAAAGTTACTTGAACAAATAATAAAGGAGAACTTCCCCAATCTGGCAAAGGAAATAGACTTCCAGGAAGTCCAGGAAGCTCAGAGTTCCAAAGAAGTTGGATCCAAGGAGGAGCACACCAAGACACATCATAATTACCTTAGCCAAGATTAAAATGAAGGAGAGAATCCTAGAAACAGCAAGAGAAAAACAGACAGTTACTTACAAAGGAGTTCTCATGAGACTGTCAGCTGATTTCTCAAAAGAGACCTTACAGGCAAGAAGGTGCTGGAAAGAAGTATTCCAAATCATGAAAGGCAAGGACCTACATTCCAGATTGCTCTATCCAGCAAAGCTTTCATTTAGAATGGAAGGGCAGATTAAGTGCTTCTCAGATAAGGTCAAGTTAAAAGAGTTCATCATCACCAAGCCCTTATTATATGAAATGTCAAAGGGACTTATCTAAGGAAAAGAAGATAAGAAATATGAACAGTAAAATAACAGCAAACTCACAATTATTAACAACCACACCTAAAACAAAAACAAAAGGAAACTAAGCAAACAACTACAACAGGAACAGAGCCACAGAAATGGAGATCACATGGAGGGTTATCAACTGAGGAGTGGGAGGGGAAGAGAGGGGGAAAAGGTACAGAGAATAAGAAGCATAGATGGAAGGTAGAAAATAGAGAGGGGGAGGGCAAGAATAGTATAGGAAATGTGGAAGCCAAAGAACTTATATGTGCAACCCATGAACATGAACTAAAGAGGGGAATGTGGGTGGGAGGGGGTGTGCAGGGCAGAGGGGTGTGAAGGGGGAAAGGGGACAACTGTAATATTCAATCATAATCAATAAAATATATTTAATTTAAAAAGAGAGAATTTATATGGCTCACTAAGCCTAAAATGTTTACTGTCTCGCACTTTACAGAAAAAGTTGGCCAAATCTTGGTGTAAACCAAATGTTTTACGATAGCAGTGTGAAGGCTACTGCCTCCCAGCCTGGAATACAGGTCTTCGCTGCCCTCTGCTCTGCCATCTCCCCTCGGCCAATTCCACATTAGTGTCTGTTGCTTGTAGCAGCCAAATTTAGGATTAGTGTTCTTAGTTGCAAGCAACACTGGCTGCAGCTGATTTAGACAGGAAAGGAATTTATTAAAAGGAAATCAGCCCTGGCCGTGTGGCTCAGTTGGTTGGAGCATCGTCCAATACACCAAAATGTTGTGGGTTTGATTTCCGGTCAGGGCATGTACCTGAGTTGCAGGTTTGATCCCTGGTTGGGACCCGTTTGGGAGGCAACTCATCAGTGTTTCTCTCTCACATTGATATTTCTCTCTTCCCACCTCTCTAAAAATCAATAAAATATATCATTGGGTGAAGATTTTTTTTAAAAAGAGGATATCATGTAGCATGCAGTCTTAGAAGTATGCAGCCAACCACCACACTCTACCCGATTGCCTCAGAGTCTTTCACAGAAGTGTGTAGTAAGGAGATGAGTGCCATGACGAGATGGTACCACATGCACCAAGAATCTGATGTTACACAGTCAATACCTCTGATGGAAACCACCTGTGCTATCCCTACTTTTTTTATTCTAAGCCTGGCTGGGTCATGTGACCATGTCCTTGCTGCAAAGGAGGCTGGAAAATGATTACTGGGCATTTTTAATTTATGTGGTGGGTGGTAAGTCCCCACCCATCAAGACTCAGAAGGAAGGGAATTCCCCAAGAAAGGAAGGAGTTCAGATACTGGGCAGTTGAACAGAATGTAAATGCTCAGTAGTACCATCAGAAGATAGTTCCCTATTTACCCACAGCTAAGCTAGTGCTTCCCAAACTTTATTCACATCCCACCTATCTTCTCTTTTATTTAGCATGAACAGCCTGCATTATTATTTACTGAACATTTTTTCTTTAAATCAACTTTTTATAAACATTTATATAAATGGTATATAAATTTATTCAAAATGAAACTAAAGTAAGTTGAAAATCAGCACTAGGGTGGCATAGTTAAACACGGTACTTAAATCCTCCTACAATCACAACAAAATTACAACTAAACTACAGAACAACCATCATTCAGAACTGCCTGAAATATAGCCGAACAGAAGCCCTACAACTAAGGAGATAAAGAAGCCACATCGAGACTGCTAGAAGGGATGGAGACACAGAATGGGATGGTTTCACACCCACATGTGGCGGACAAAAATCTGGAGGAGTATCTCACATAAAAGTGTGCCCTTTGAGGAGTGAGGGGACCCAGCCCCACACCAGGCACCCAGCCCAGGGTTCCAGTACCAGAAAGAGAAGTCCCTATTACTCCTGGCTTTAAAAACCAGCAAGGATTGTGACTGAGTGAGATAGAGGACCATTTGTGTCCCAGGAGATCCTCTTAAAAGGCTTGCAGAGACTCACTTGGACT